TTTTTGGAATTTGTAAAACAGAAAAAAATTAAAATAATTTTATAATTATCAAACTACTTATATTTTTATAATAGATTATGCCATATATATATCAAATAAACATACATACAAAATATATAATAAAAATAAAAATTAAAAAAAAAAATCCCGGGCGTAGCCTAGGGCCAACCCTAGCAAGAAAATTGTTAAAATTATATTTTATGCCCTTAATAATTATAGTTTAAAATTAAATGTTAAAATTTCAGTTATTTTCAAATAAAATTTAAATATATTTATATATCTATGTTAATAATTATTTAGTAAATAAAAAACTATAGTATTTCAATTTTTTATAAAACATGCTTATAATATATATTAAAATATAAAATATATATTTTTGATTTTAAACAAATATTTGAATTATATGTTAATTTAACCACATTTTCATAAATTCAAATAAATAAGTTAAAAGAATAATTGAATTTGAAATAAATTATTTTATTCAATTGGTTATCATTTTTTTTTTGTCGACAAAGACACATACTCATATTGACTCTGTGCACCATATTGGTAGCTCTACATCCATTTAAACGACAAAAGATTGGTTATCAACTTATATGTATTTTGATATTGAAAGAAAAAAAAAGAATTTTAATAATTTTCTAATTTTAGTCATGAAAAAAACAATACAAAAAATTTCAATTTTTAATAATTTATGTACGTTATTTAGTCTAAGTATAAAATATGCAGTTAAATATCTCTATAATATTATTTGAGAAGTCAGTTTCCTATGTGTCGCGCTCACGTTAACTCTCGCGATGGTTGATTACATAGATACCCTTAATGAATTGTTAGATTTTAAGATTATTATTAATTTTTTTATTTAGTTTCTTTTTTACTTTTTTCCAAATAACATATATAATAAAAAGGAAATATTTCTAAAATTATAAAACAAATTTAAAGACGAAATTATATGTATAAAATATGACTTATTAAAAAGGAAAGTTCACAAAATAGTAATACTCCAATTAATATATATTTTTAAATAACATAAAATATATTTTTAAAATAATAAAAATATATATGTTCATGAACATCCAAAAATTTATCAGTTACACTTTATTTTCTAATATTTTTTAGAAATCAACATATAATTGATAAATATTATGAAAATACATTTATATTTAAGCGATAAATAAAACTAATTTGATTTGACTTAACTAAAATGAAAAGTAAATAAAATATTATGAAAATACATGTATATTTAAGCGATAAATAAAATTAATTTGATTTGACTTAACTAAAATAAAAAGTAGTTATACTTCAATTTTAATTTAAAAATATATTTAACTTAATATATACTCACAAAATGAACAACTCCACTAATCTAATTTATATAACATCTAACTACAATAAGAACATATAATTTTATAATAATAATAATAATAATATATTTAATTTTATACATATAAATTAGAGGTTGACTCAAAGCATATTAAAAAGAAAAAGAAAACATTAACCAACTACAATTTAATTCTTCTGTAAAATTTATATATATGCATGAGACTTCAAAATATTATCATTATATTCATTTATTTAATTTTGCATCAAACACTTCAGCTTATTATTTATTTCATTTTAAGCACAATATATATTAACTTATACATAATTTAACTATAATATATTTACATATCTAAGAATATATTTACATATCTAAGATAATAACCAACCGAAATGAAAATAAGAAAATTAATAAAAACTTTATTATATTTAGAACAAAAAATATTATAGCTGAACTCGAAAAATAGATATTATCCAATATACCAAATTGATAACCAAACCGACTATTGATCCAAAAATAATTAAACCGATAATAATATATCCAAAATCATATGTATAATTAGAATAATATAATATTTATTAATATAAATTGTACATATAAATTGATTCAAAACTAAAACTAAATATCAATCAATTAATATAAAATTTTACTTTTATAAATATTCATATCCGTGCATGAGCACGGGAAAATCACCTAGTACCCTATCATAAACGAAACAAAATTAAAATATAGGAAAAAACCCGGGCGTAGCCCGGGAAAAGTCTCTAGTCTCTAGTCTCTACTAATACGTGCCGACAACCTTACAAGAATCGTTTCATTTGAAATAAAGAGACTAACATGCTCTCTTTGTCTTAACATTTTTCATATACCGAATCAACATTGAGATAAAGACATAACTTTGACAGTCATATAGGAAACTTATCTATACGTGCATTATACATGACTGTTAAACTTCTGAATTAACAACGCAATGATTGTTTGCTTTATGTTCCCAATGGCCGCTAGAATTAAAAGTTATTTTCTTTTCCCTAAGAGAAGCTGGAAGGTCTTTAGGGGAATAGGTGACATTTAAAAAAGACTCGTTGATTCCCTCTCTTTTTTTTTTTGGAAGTTGCACCACTCAAATTAATTAATTTGGGTTCTATATATATTGTAAGAGGCAAAGCCAAGACTCTTTCATCTTTCCCCTCAACGAGTTTCACTCAAGGGGTCTTTACTTTCCAGGTATTTTCCTAGCTACTCTATGAATAATCTGCCACTTTTAAGGGTCCATGAGTTTGGTATTCTTTTCCTGTCTTTTCAACACACATACCTACAGTTTCACATCCTTTGTTCCTATTTTAATATTTGTAGGCTCTGGTGTCTGGTTTGGGACTTCTTGCTAAATCATGGATAGGATAAGTCAGCTGCCTGATACACTTCTGTTGCGAATACTGTCAAAACTGCCTACCGCTTAAGATGTTGTGGAGACTATGGTTTTGTCAAAAAGTTGGCTTCCTCTTTGGAAGTCAGTGCCAAAACTTGTGTTCGACGACAGTATCTATGAAGATATTGGAATATTTTCGCGCTTTGTTGACAGGTCTTTGATTCTGCACGTGGAACCAATAGAAACACTGCGTTTCAAACTTACTCGAGCTTCTGCTGTCTTTGATATTGGAATGTGGACTGAAATCGCTGCTCAACGCCATGTGCGTGACTTGAGTATCGAGATCGACTGTTCTTCCAGTACAACTCCTGTTATACTTCCAAGGAGTATATACACAGGCTGTGGAATGCTTGTGACCTTGAATTTAACGAGTGTGACTCTTATAGATTCTTCTACCTTGCCTTCTTTCTCTTTCCTTAAAACTTTGAGCCTTTTATCTGTGAAGTACCCCGGTGATGAGTTTGTCAAGAGGCTTTTATCATGTTGTCATGTTCTTGAAGATTTGGAAGTGGACCAATGTCTAGATGACAATGTTATGATTTTCACAGTTAAGGTTCCTTCCCTCAAGATTGCATGTTTTCATAAAATAGAAGACAGATATGTTGATGATAAGGATGGATTTGTGATAGATGCTCCTTCTTTGGAGAAATTGAATGTTTATAATATTTTAGGCGGGTTCTGTACCATTGAGAATGATATGCCTAATATTGATAAAGCAGCTTTTGTCGTTAATCATGATCCTTCCAAAATTCTGAGTGCTATTACTACAGTGAAGGACCTTTATTTATGTTTAAACTCGTACTCAAAGGTAAATATCTTCTTGACTACTACGAAAATTAAGTAATTTTTCCATCTTTTTTTTTCCTAATAGTATGCTTGATCTCCTTTTTTTTTTTGCTATGGCAGGATACATATCTTGTTGGCAATGTTTTCCACCGTCTTGTGCGTTTAAGAATATGCACATCTGAGACAGAATGGTTCAATCTACTTATGTGTGTACTCAGAGATTCCCCTGGTTTAAAAGCCCTCAAACTGAAGGTATATAAATATATATATGTGTATATATATATATATATATATATATATGTGTACATTTCATCCCAAAATATTCAGTTTCATTCATTAGTATTTCTATAAATGCACTTAATCTGTCCCGTCAATTCATCCCAGCGTCATTGCATTCGAGATCAAAAACAGCGCTCCTTTTGGTATGAACCCAGATCAGTTCCTGAATGTCTGTCATCGAGTCTTGAAACTTTTGAATGGGTAGGCTATGAAGGAACCGAAGACGAGAAAGAAGTAGCAGCATTCATTTTAAGAAGTGGAAAATGTTTGAAGAAAGTTAATATCTCCTCGGAAAGCTCCGACTCCGTTTAAAAAAGAAACTAGAGATGCTTCGCCTACCTGTCAAGCTTGCATTCTTCTTGATAACAAATCCAGTCACATCTCATTGGTTACTTTTGAATTGAATCTCAGATATGCTTATTAGTATTTTATGTTTTTCTTTTTTTTTTCATATTATTTGAGGGTTTTGAATTTCTTATTGTTCTTGCTTTATTCTATTCCTATTAGAAAATTCTACTGATCAAAATCCTATTCACCGTCTCCACATGATAAATTAAAAGTCTATTTTTAAAAGCATACATATGTAAACATGGACGCTGATTCCTAAACTTTGTTTCCATTTCCATCTTGAATGCGGAAGTGACTTGGAGTTAAAGGTCTTTGTAATTGCATAGGGCTCCCGTTCTTGAAATAGTTTTTTTTCTGAAAGTTGATATATTTCAAGTTAATCCTCTCTACACACTGTGATATGGATTAGAACCGCACTTTGTCACACTTTTCGTGAGCTAAAACTTGACTAAAAAACATTGAAAATCATCACTGAGATAGATGATCATGAAGAGCAACTTGTGATGATTAAAACGTTAGCATTCTCACCTAGAGCATCAAATACATGTTCGACTGAAGAAAACATTCTCTACCCCTAGTCCACATAATGAATGATCTACTTCAGTTCTGTTCTTTATAATAAGTGTGCATGGGTGTGGATAAATGATGACGTTGATTGTTCCACTACTCTGTTTTTATTCTTTAGCTATGTTCTTGCCTTGGGAGTCAAGTCTCATGGAGGAAGAGGTGATTCTACTTTTACATGAGAAGAAACGTTTAATTAGACAAAAAAAAAAAAGAATAATTCTACAGACATCGAATTAAAAGAGACAAATATACTCACTTCGTCTTAACATTTTTCAGATACCAAATCAACCTTGAAATAAAGAGACAAACATATATAGAAGGGCGTAGATAACAATATGAAAATTTCACTTAATTTTTCGATCTTTTCCTTTCTTCCTATGAACAATCTCATCAGCATAGCACACTCCATTAGCCTTGTACGGCTCTGCTGGCCTCCACTTCTTTACCGTAGCAGCAAACTGCCCAATCTCACACTTATCATATCCACTCACTATGACAATTGTTATCTTAACTTCTTCTTTATCGAAAATTTTAATCTTCTTATCCACTTTCACTTTGAGACTATCTGGTATCTCAATCTTAACCGGGTGAGAAAACCCAAGATTCAACACCAATTCTTTTCCTTGGACCGTCGCACGATAACCAACACCTTTGAGCTCAAGCGTCTTCTCAAATCCCTTTGATACCCCCACAACCATGTTATCAGTAAGTGTCCTAAATTTATTAAAAGGGATATCAGCACTAAAAGTCTAAAACTAAAGTTTTTTTTTTTTTTTTAAAAAAAAGGCTGAGAACTTTGTAACCTGAAAAGGCCGTGCATTTCTTTGGCTCTTCTTGTTTCCACGGTTTCCCTGACCCTCAAGAAACCGTGGTCTTCTTCTGTAAGCTTAACTTCTGGTGGGTAAGTTAAAGCGAGTTCTCCCAAAGGACCTTTGACTTTCAAGTGTTGACCTTGTAATGAAATGGTTACATTTGACGGTACAACGATTGGTTGCCTTCCTATCCTTGATTCCTTGCGCTCGATGGTCTTTGTGGAAAACCCCACCTGAGCACATGGCGTGGATGAGACATTGAACATACTTCTTCTGTCGCCTACAAACCATGACCTGTAAAAAGAAAGCGAGCTTATCTATCTTTCAAAGAGATTGAATCGGACTGCAGCTACAAGTCCACAATTTGAAAAAGGTACCAAGAAAGTCAAAAGAGAGTACTAACATATCACTTGACAAGAAAAAAAGGACTAGCATATGAAGATATTGCAATATATCCCAATATGAAGTTAACGAGCATTATCCAAAGAGATCTTGATTAGAATACCAAGTAAAGCTAACAAAACCTAGGCGAAATCAAGAAACTATAGTCGAGAGATAAGGTTTTAAGGTTACCTTGGTTGAAAACAAGAGAGGAGAGAGAATGCCATTGCTTGCTAAAAATTGTTGAAGAAACGTATCTGATCCAGAAAGAGAATAGAGATAGTTTATGAATTAGTAGCCAGTTTAATAAGGATTAAGGGAGAGCTAGGTTGTGAAGTGACGTGCCTGTGTGGAAAAAGGAGACACATAAGAGTGTCTCGATTAAGGGGACACAGCTGGTAAGCAGATTAAAAGACTGAGAAAACTAAATATTTAAAAAGAACTGAGCAAACTAACTAAGAATAAGAACTGTAAGCATTAAACATTTCTAGATAATTTTTTTAAATCTCTGTTATATCAAAAAATTATTAAAATGTGTTGATTACTTTAAATACCATAGTATTCTTGATACTAGCTGCATAACCCCCGCGCAAGCGCGGGATTGGGATCTGTGTTTTTTGTGATATTGTTTTTTTTTTATTGGAAATAGTTTTTTATATCGGATGTCAAAACTTGATATAAATATTTATTTATAATATTTATATTTGTACTAAACGATTTATCAATTTGAAAATAACTTTAATTTAATCTAATATTTGTTGTTTGGGTTTCAATAGATAGGTTTGGATATGTTTTTTTGTAAGTTTGGATTTTGTTCATGAATAATGTGGTATTTTTCTTTACGGCGTCATCGACTGTGGAAATCTATCCGCCGGAGTCTGATAAAAATGAAATTATAGTAACTATTAAAAATTGAAGAGAAATTACATAGTTATTTTATAAATAACAAAACTATTTATTTTATTTTATTTCACATACATAATTTTTTGAAAATATATATTAGGAAATATGTTCTAACAGTACAAATATATATTAGGATATGATATTGTCGCGTGAGACTCGTTTTTTTTTCTTCTTTTTTTGGATATTCGTTTTTTGATCCATTTTTAATTGTTTTTGGGTTTGAGTTCGTCAAAATTTAGGATTTTCCACTATTTTGGGCTTTAAACAATAAGTTCAGAAGAAAAAAAACATTAAAACTAAAAAACCATATGATAATAATCCAAACGAAAAAACTAAAATACATAACAGCTGCGTGGTTTGAACCCACACACTTGCAGACTTAATTAAATGTCTTATACCACTTTGCTAAAGTGTATTCATTGTTTATAATCATTTTAAAAAAACTATAAGCTTTTAAAATTTAAATATGCGGGGTCCACTCAGCTGCTGATGTGGATAGCCTTAGGAGCTTCAAAAGTGAATCATTATTATATAGATTCTAAGAAACGTGGTCATTTTATTTGTTTATTTCCCAAGTATTTGTAATCAGAAGAAACGTTTAATTAGACCAAAAAAATTTCTAGACACTGAAATAAAGTGACAAATATATACTCTCTTCGTCTTAACATTTTTCAGATATCGAGTCAACCTTGAAATAGCACTCTCATTTTATCACATCACTGCTACTAGAGCTGGTTATGATACAATTAAGAAGAACATTCTAAATGTCATTTCATAGGAGGACGAGAAAAACTTCAGACCTCTTACAAATTCAAAACATAGGAGGAGGACGAGACAAACTTCAGACCTGTCACAAATTCAAAACAGAAGGATGCAATAATAGAAGAAGATTAACCTGTTGATAGCGGTATAGAATATATATACATATCTTCCCAATTAATATCGTATCTAAATCATATCTTCTTGTATATATTCTCTCATAACCTCCTACGATGTGTATATATAAACACCAATGTACAAAGTCATTATTCAATAAGAAAGAATCTTTTCCTATATGGTATCAGAGTAATATCGCTCCTAAAATCCTAAAACTTTAACGTCTTCTCCAAGATGTCTTTCTCATCCTCCTCTTCCGCCACTCATAATCTCACCAAAGTCATCAACACTGGCAACACTTCATCACCATTGGTCCACATCAATATGGCCAACATCACTAAGTTGTCTTCGAACAACTATCTCACATGGAGTCTACAAGTCAAAGCCCTTCTTAGAGGATATGACTTACTTGGCTTCATCGATGGGTCACGTACACAGCCTCTAAAAACTATAATGGTGACAAACCAAGAAGCTGTGAACCCTGACTACACTGTTTGGCTCCGCCAGGACAGTCTTCTCTACAACGCCTTGATCGGTGCTATTGAAGTTGCAAATCAGCCACTCATTGCAGCCGCAACTTCCTCCTTTGAAGCTTGGAACACTCTTGCTTCAACTTATGCAAAACCAACCAGAGGAGACATCAAGCAACTGCGAAATCAACTCAAATACTTTGTCAAAGGAACCAAAACCATAGATGAGTACATGCAGTTCATTCACACCAAAGCTGATATTGCCCTTGCTCTGCTTGGGAACCCGATGGACCATGAAGATCTCACTGACAATGTTCTTGAAGGTCTCCCTGAGGACTACAAACGGTAGTTGATGCTGTCCACAGCCGCGATGTACCAATCTCCTTTGCCGAGCTCCACGAAAAACTAATCAATCGTAAAACAGCTCTGCTTCAACAGTCCTCTGCTCCATCAACTTTCCCCATCACTGCCAATGCAACGCAAACCGAAATCGCAACAACTGGAAACCACAGAATCATAACAACTCTTCTTATGGCTCAAACTATCGCCCACCAAACCAGGCTGCAAATCGCCAGAATAACAACAATCAGAGGTACTCTAAACCATACATTGGAAAGTGCCAGGCCTGTGGAGTTCATGGTCACACAGCACAACGATGTTCCAAGTACCGTATTGTCTCTTCTAAGCAACAACAAACATCATCACGTAACTCTGTTCAAGCAGCACCTCAAACTTACAATACTGCACTACAGTACCAGGAAACACCATCTTGGCTAATGGACAGTGGCGCCTCTCATCACATTACCTCAGACCTTCCTAATCTCTTCATGCACTCGCCATACAATGGTGCTGAAGAAGTCATTGTTGCTGATGGTAAAGGTCCACAGATCACACACACTGGTTTGGCAAATTTACACTCTCCAACTCGATCACTTGTCTTACATGATGTTTTACGAGTTCCTACTGCTGCTAAAAATCTAGTTTCGGTTAACAAGCTGTGTACTGAAAATGATGTTTCTGTGGATTTTTTCCCACATAAATTTCAGGTGAAAGATCTCAACTCGGGGGGCGCAACTTCTAGTGGGCAAGTCTAAGAATGGTGGTTACGAGTGGCTGTGTCGAGCTCCTGATCCAGATTTCTCATCGCCATCATTACTCTCTTCTCAAATTTCAGTTCCTTTGTCGCTTTGGCACTCTAGGCTAGGCCATTATGCTATTCCAGTTTTAAAAACTCTTGTTTCAAATTCATTGCTTCCAGTCTCTAATAAAAGTACTTCTTTTCATTGTCAAGATTGCTCCATAAACAAAAGCCACAAAATACCTTTCTCAACTTCTTCTATGTCATCATCAAAACCATTTCAACTTGTGTTTTCAGATGTTTGGACGTCACCTATTCATTCTGTTGATGGCTACAAGTATTATGTTATCTTCGTTGATCACTACACACACTATGTGTGGTTCTATCCTCTTCGGAGAAAATCTGATGTTCGCGATACCTTTATTAGATGGAAAGCTCTTGTTGAAAACCGACTGCAACATCGTCTGACAAACTTTTACAGTGACAATGGTGGAGAATACTTGGCCCTTGCGAATTATCTCAGTCAAAATGGAGTTACTCATCTGACATCTCCCCCACACACACCACAATGGCTTCTCAGAACGCAGACATCGTCACATTGTCGAAACAGGGCTTGCTCTCCTCTCTCATGCTTCGATTCCAGTCACATATTGGAGTTATGCTCTTGCTGCTGCTGTATACTTGATCAATCGACTACCTTCAGCGACACTGTTGAATTCAAATCCATATGAGAAGCTGTTTAACTTGGCGCCCAATTATCTGAAACTTAAGGTGTTTGGCTGCCTGTGTAATCCATGGGTCCGTCCTTACACAAATCACAAGCTTGATAACATATCCACTCCATGCATCTTCCTTGGTTATTCTCTCACTCAAAGTACTTTTTTATGTCTTGATCCAACCTCTCATCGCCTCTATGTTTCTCGTCATGTTAAGTTTGTTGAAACACAATTTCCATTCAAAAAGCTTTCATCTCCAGCTCCTAAAATATCTCCGGTCTTCTCCACTGAGATTACGGTTCCCTTCACAGTTATTTCGACACAGTCACTCTCGCCACCATGTGCGGTACAGCCCCCAGGTTCAGATCTCTCACCAGCAACTACAATGCCAGCTTTTGAACCGACTCCAGACCAGTCTCAAAACACCTCATCCTTTGACACTGCGCAACAGGCAAACACAGAGCCTGAGATTCCTTCTGTGGTTCAGTCTGATACTCCATCATCACCTATACATCTCACTAATGATACAGATGTTTCTCTTACAATTGATGCATGTGCTGCAGGAACTGCAGCTGACACATATGATACAAATGACGCTGCCACAATGGTGATGCACTCAGAAAAATTTCATCCGATGATCACTCGGTCTAAGAACAATATTTCAAAACCAGTGCAGAGGTTCTCTTTCGCAGCTACAGCATCTGCTCACTCTGAGATCGAACCAGCAACAGTCACACATGTGCTCCGTGACAAATTATGGCGTGCATCCATGAGTGAGGATTTGACTCTCAGGTTCGACATAATACATGGGACTTAGTGCCTCCTAATCCCTCATATAACTTGATTGGGAATTGATGGATCTACAGAATCAAGCGTGATCCTCAAGGGAATGTGAAACAACGCAAATCTCGACTTGTAGGCAAAGGATATCATCAAAGGCCGGGCATTGACTTTCATGCCACCTTCAGTCCGGTAATCAAACCTCCTACAATTCGACTGGTTCTCGGTTTGGCAGTTTTGTATGGTTGCGATCTACGTCAACTTGATGTGAGCAATGCCTTTTTACAAGGTAACTTAACTGAAGATGTTTACATGCACCAGCCAGCTGGCTTTGTTGATCGTGACAAACCACATTACGTATGTAAGCTTCGCAAAGCATTGTACGGCTTGAAACAAGCACCTCGTGCATGGTACT